TGATTCTCAGAGGTTAAAATATAATATTTAGAAAAGCAAAAATCTGAAGACACGTAATTGATACGCCACCAAATGATCCATGTTCCCAAATAAAAGTCGAATGCGTTGCGTATTCCCATGGCATCGTGCGAACACTAAACCTTATTCTTTCACCCTATAACCTGATAGTGTTGTCGATAGTCTTACTACTTTTATTGCTTGATGTTCGGAAAAGTACACAGTTCCGATGAAATGAGTGAACTGTATATGTAGTTCTGTACTGTTTTGTTTACTGTTAAGGCTGTTTTCTATCTCGTCGACGCGGTTTTTAGCTGGGTGTCGCCACAGTAAAGTACGCGATCAGTTTTTGCTAACACTAGTTTCGAAATTTCAATTGGTTTTCATGTCACAAAGCGTACTGGATGCTTCAAAGGATAACTCTACTTCACTTTTTCTGGCATGGTATAAGTGGCCTGTTTAGGACTTCTTGGGCTTATATCTATCTGTCTGGATGATGATTGGATTTTCATCGGCATCATTTTCATTTAAGAACTAATCTCATTTTATCAATTCTAATCTCTTTGATCTCGATTTTTCATCGTTTTTGCCTTCATTTCTGGTATTATTTCAAAGACTTATAATGAGCTCCTTTTAGGCCAACAATCGCTAGCACGAAAAGCTTCAGCAGACTCAGAAACCGATCCAGAATTTTATTAGGCTGCTTCAGTGTGTGTGACCTCATAGTGATGTATCACTGTAAGAAGGATTTCAAGAGAAAAATTATCTCATTTCGCTTCCCTTTGTAGTTATGTTTCATTTGGTTTCTGATATTTGAATAGAAAGTAATCAAATCAGGGTTGTAATCTAGGTGGCTTAATAGTATTTGTTAGTAGCTTTCAGAATGTTTTTTCTACCGCTCAAAATATTTAGTTTTTATTTGTTTTCAATACGGTATTTTTCATATCGCTGAGATTTTGTGTATAATAGTTCTTTCCTACTTGTTCACTTTATCCCGTGAAGGGCACCGGTTGACAAGGCGTGAGCTATAGGGCTTAGCTCGCGCAGTGTCATATCAAGGGTCTTCTATAAACGGTGAATGTTAGCCGGTTTTATCAGAACAGTTCAAGTGTTAATTGTGTGATTGTACCAGTGATTTCTATAATTAACGGCTTTGTTTTGTTGTTTGACCAGTGCATTGATTTACTTGTGCTTTTACGAGTTAAATGACAATAACATTGTGATAGAACAGAGTACATGTGTAGATAGAATTGGAGAGTTTTTAATAGAGTTCTGTTTTGGTTAGTAAAAGTTTTATTTATTTTTTGTTTTACTGATTGATTTGAGACGTTGCTTTTACGTCGTTGTTCTTCTGTTTCTTCTTTTTTTCTTTTTTTCAAGTTTCTTTTGATAGGTTTTCCTTTCGTGGCTTCAACCGGTTGATTGTTTAAGGTAATAGTGTTCGATCGAATGTGATCAGTGATAATGAGCTTAGCTCCTGTTGATGTTTGGATAGAATCGGTGACCGGTGAACGATGGTCGGAACGAGTTCGCCTATTCGAGACAATCGGTGAGCTGAAGAAACGCGTATGGCGTCGCAAGAGGATCATACCGAGTCGGCAAGCTATCGTGAGTGTCTAATGCCTATTGATTCTGAGAAAGAAACCCGAATTTTTGAGCTCTTCTTTTACCCTTACATGCATTTAGGGCGGTTAGTTTAAAGGCGTAGTCACCTCAAGTCAACTCAAGTCAAGGCAATTAAGCTGTGTTACGAAATTACAATGGTGTTCTTTCGCGATTTGGAAGTTTAGGCAGCGAGATATGCTCCTTAGGCCTGTGTTTCAAAATTTAAGCCATAGAATTGCTGCGCAACTACAGCTTGGAGAAGTCTCAACTAACAAATCAACAAGGATCTTGATCTTGCCCTTGAAAACGGCGGTAGGCGCCTTCGCGTATGAAATACGTCAGGCTCATATCTGTCGCAGCGCCTTCTTTATCAATTTCCGAACTTTCGGAAAGTTCGATCCGACCACGACGGACGAATCCCGCATCCACATAGTTTTTTATTGGATGTAAGATGTTGGGGCAGATTTCCTTTATGGTTCGATTTATCATTTTCAATTTTATGAGTTTGTAGTCTGCTCGCACTAAAATTGCAAGAAAATGGCAATAACAAGTGGTTCAATCCGAACATGATTAACAATCCATGCATGGTCTTCATCAGTTTTGACGAACTCGGGTTGTTCAGGTTTTTGGCGGCCGGTCCCTGCCTGATGAGGCGGAAATGGACACAGTGGGTGTGCGTGCCGACTCAACCTTAAAACTGTTAGTGGTGGCGAAGTCGGGTCCATTAACAGGACGAGAAAGAGACGAGCAGCTGCTGCTCAGCGATGACGTGAGCGATCGCGAGCACAGGCGTCAAAGTCGAAGGTAGGCGTTTGTTTTTTGAATTTTTGAATCTGTAGCGTATATTACGTCAAATGTGAATTGTTTAGGGGGTGTAGCGCTGCTGAAGATACCAGCGCTAAAGAAAGCAGTGCTGGTGAAACGGAACGCGACCAAGATGATGTAGGAGTTGCTGGCACGTCGTCTACAGTCAATTCCAGGCATATGCGTCGTACCCGAACAAATAGTCAGGGCGCCCCCAAAGGTGAGTTCCGCCGTATTTTTTCTTAACTTTTCCTTAAAATGCGCTGCAGAGCACACGGTAGACTGTAGTGCAGGGGACTGAACCTAGAGGCTAGTTTTCAACTAATGCCCTATAGGCTCCCAGCATGCCTTCCAGGACCCGTTTACTCTGCTTACACTCAGTGGGACTTTTCTTTAACGGTATTGTCAATTTTCAGTACTGGCTAGTGTTTATTTTTCAGATCTCCCTTCATATGCTGAAGGCTGCCCTCCGTTAATCAACGTCACCGGTCCACAAACAAGTGCAGTGGTTTCAAACTCCCTGGGAGCTCTGACAGAGGCTCTGGAGAAGCTGGAGGTACGTGTGTTTTTGTTCTTCATCACGTAATGCAAGCAGCAATATGGAAGTGAACCTAAAATGTTTCAGAATCTACGAGTGGATTCACCGACTGGTGAAGAGGTGCTGTCGGAAGATCCATCAGAGCTGTCGTCTGGTATGATTGTATGCGACTTGACCAACGAGTTTCGACGACAAAAGGTATGTTCGAAGTTGATTCTCGAGTCACCTAAAGTTCTCAATCCGCATTAGTTCCAATTTCCCCCTTGTACCGCGGCATTTTTTTGCTGGCTGGCGCGTGTGGCCGGCACCTGTTTATAAGCGCCGCGGATGAGCAGAACTTTCTCATCTATATCATGTGCGCCTATCATATAAGCACCATACATATGTGCTGTAATTTTACAATATTGGTGTACATCTCTGATTAGTGGAACTAACTATTATCACATGGTAAAGGTGATAAGGTAATCAAAGTGAGCAGGTTTTGAAAACATATACTGATGAATATATGAAGGGGAACATTCACAAGAAGTGGTTTAATGAAGCCATTTTTATTTTTCAAGCACTCGAAGCCAAAGTTAACACGTTTTTTTTCTACAGCAATTTGGGAGAAATTCAAGGGGCTGTCACTGAATTTTTCACTGCGAGAGTCAGTAATTCAGAACTTTCTTCTTATGGCGCTGTCCCTTGCACGTGTGTTGTTCTTGTCCAATTCCGGATCTTTGTCCTTATCGGGTTACAATGAGGAAATGTTGAACATCTCCATACAAAAATCGCAGCCTCATCATGTACTGTACACGATGCGCAGTGGATGAAATGATTGCACTACTGATGAGGAATTAGCAATTTCGCGCCTTTTTTCCGAGTTGTGATTGCAAGGGGGCGTGAAGAACCAAATCAATTCACATTACTTATAGTGAACAACCGAATAAAACTGTTCTTCGTTACACATTTTATTAGTTGTCTTGAATTATGTTTAGGGTCATGGCCGAGTCGTATACTACATGTTACGCTGCGGGGGGGGGGGGGGGGGGGGGGGGGGGGGGGGGGGGGGGGGGGGGGGGGGGGGGGGGGGGGGGGGGGGGGGGGGGGGGGGGGGGGGGGGGGGGGGGGGGGGGGGGGGGGGGGGGGGGGGGGGGGGGGGGGGGGGGGGGGGGGTAGACGGAATTAAAAATGCGGAGGCCACTCTAAATTGAGCGTAGAACTCGATTGAGATAGCGAGCGTGTTTTACGAATGGGCAAGACTCTGCGAAAATTCATAGTTCTTCCCGGATAGCCTATAAGCGGGGGAGCTTGATAGTAGTATGCTTATGGGTACTAGAAAGACCAAAGGTTGAGGTTTACTACGGTAACTCAAGAAAAACCATTGATTCGTTACTGTACGAATGCGATGCTCTACTTGGCACTTGTTGTATGGCTAGTTGTCACTACTGAAGACGGCAGAACTGCCCAATAAGCTGAGCGACCAGCTTAATAGTGATGAGTAACAGTTATGTAACGGGTACTCGTATAACTTCGTATAGGCGAGCCCCATTCTCCTTGCCGCGCATCTTTCAAAATCGGGAAGCACTCTCTTTATCTTTATAATTTCTGAATGTTTTACTCGCGGGAAAGCATTTGCCTTGCTCAGTCGTAAGCTAAACCTTTACATTTGGTGTCTACTGTTTCTGATGAACAAAGTCCTCCGCGTGTCTTGAAAATCACACCGTTTTTCCCGTATTTCATTTTCCATTTGTTGTTTAGTTTTTTTCAGGTGCGACGACATCGGCTATCCTCCGCTCCATCGACATGCCGCCAACGAGCGCGTAGTAAGCCGCGCATAACTCACCGTGAGCGATCATCATCCGATGATAATGAAGCTAGCCAAGTTGAACCAGTTGCATTTGCGGTGAGGCTGTCGACAGTTGCAACTTTTCTTCTACAATCTTAATTGTGTTTTTGTTTCAGCTGCCAGTTCGTCGTGGAGTTTCGACGAGAGCGGTCCGTTCAATGGCAATGCGTGGTGGGGCGGCGCGATGTAATGTCTGTGCTTTTCGTATAAACAGCGCGTTTATTGCACGGCTAAATTCTTCCACGCTGTTATGACTTTTAGATAATATTTATTACTCAATGGCAGACACTACTGTCGTGAAACTTGCTTCCGAAGAAAAAGGAAGAATAGTGAAGTAAATAATGTAGACCTTTTTTTTTGTCCATGACTTCAGCTGCTTCGCAACCGCGCGCCGGTCCTCAAACACCAACCAAACTTTTCTCTGATGATTTTCTGTGGACGTGGTTGGGCTTTTCTTTTGTGTGTATGCCTAGCATAATCCCAATCTGTTTGAGCGTTGAGGAAGGTAATGTCCGGTGCATATCAAAACGTAGAAATGCGCGCACGCATCTGACTGCCCTTGTAACTCATAGAGAGTTCTATGCCTTTGGTCTTGAAATTGCCAGCAGGTGAAATCACTTAGTATTTGAATTTATCGTAAAGTAGGAGCATCCATCGGACTGAGCCATGGAGGGGACAGGAAAGCCGGCGGAAATTAAGATGGCTCACGCACGCACCATGGAGTTCTCGTCCGCTGCCTAAAGCTGGGTCCCGTTTTGACAGAAATGCGCCACGGCAATCTTACTGGCCTGGATGTTTCAACGCTTTTCATTGCACTGTCACTAAACAATGCCGCCGTGCTTTGCGATAAGCACTTTTTTTGTCGTCGGAAACTGCTAGCTGTAGTTCAAGCGTAAGGGGTTGCTCAGGACGGTATCCCAAGTCCGAGGACGCGCGAGTCACGCAACTCTGCTGTAAACGCCAACATCACCGCAACTACATTATGAATGGAAATTAGTGTTTCGACCTTATTAGCAGGTTCTCGCTCGGTTTCCAGTGTCAAATTGAATTTGTTCAGATGTGGAAAAACGTTGTGTTCACGACATCGTGCCGCCCAGTCACACACGTGCTCGAAAATTCGCGCCAAGCTGCAGCAAGTCAGCGACTGACCTGAGCTTGCTCTGGAATGTGGCAAGTGGCCAGTAGTTTCAGTCGCTCCAACGATTATACAGACGATGGCTTTAAAGTCAAAAGGAGAATCGGTTTTGGTAAATATTTATTGTCAGGACAAGCTCTGCTTTTCGAGTTGTCCATGTATCTCATCGTACTTCTATTCTCGGTTTGTCGTTATGAATCAATCAACCATGCTTGTTCTTGGATAGATTTTTGCATGTTTCGATATGGTACCATCGACTGTTAACATTCCGCTGTATTCGTGCTTTTTGCTGCAATCTGTAAGAGAGTGATGGTGGTAAGGTTGGCGATGACCGCGAATCCTTCCGTGACCATTCTATCAACCTAGCGGGCTCTTTGATAGTGCCAAAACGCCCTACTTTCCAACGTGTGCGCAATTTTTGAACTGACTGGGACTGGGGTGGTCCTAAAGGCGGAGCTAGTTTATTGCGGAAATTTTCGCGTGAGCTACGAATCTGCTCTGGGCAATGCTTTACAACTGCCCATCCTTAGTCTTTCTTCGACTTCTTCAACAGGATTCGCATCTCGTTCATCCTCAACCTCGCATTACCGTCTTCGTTCTCAAGGGAATCGGTCGTGAGCACGAGGTGAAAGGGGTGAGTATATAATTGCTGCGAAGCGACAAAATGTCAGGGGGATTCTTCTGATAGAAATCCCACTTCCCGAAAATTTCCCTTTTGCTCTCAAAAATACTTGACCCATTTTAGCAAACTCTGTCCAGCTTTCTAGGAATCCTTAATACTACTCACTCATAGCTTGACGAATGGGACTGTTGACACTCATTCATTTGGAGCTGTGCTAGCAAATCGTTGGTCTTGGTCTGGTCTTTTTCGCGGACCCTTGTCATCTTTTTGTAATTGCCTAACCCTGTTTACACATTTCTGTGATCCCATGATGATATACTAGCAGCTTTAAAAGGAAGATTCTCGTAGACGGGAGGTGAATGTGGTGTCATACATTAGAGTTCCATGCTCTGCTGGCGCCGCAGAAGATTCATGGTCGTGGTTTTTAGATCATTTGCAAAACACTACTGCACCTTTTGCAATCTCACTACTTTTATGTATGCTGCCAGCCGTTGGAGGCTTTTTTTCTATTTTCTAGAGAAATATGATTGTGGCATCGTTTCTGTTAGAGTTTGGGTTACATTGATGTTTGAACGAGTTGGTCGAATAGTCGAAGAAGTGAGCGAATGTCCACGAAGCGTTTAAAGTCTAGGTCACCGCGGCGACCAGGAATGACCGATCGCAGATGTGTGTTGACGCGGGCGGTCGCGGCGCGACCAGTGCAAGTCACATTTACTGTCATCTGATGATGGTCATCAACAAAAATCAGAATAACTTAAGAACCGAAAACGCCCCCTCGAAATTGCTCGTTCGGAGGTCAATGTGTAGTGTTTCTGTGGGTGACGGGGATACTACAGTGGATTGGATTTGGCGAATTGCTTCGGGCACATTGATTAGGTAATATATATCTACTATGAAGAATGTTGTGCATGATTACTGAATTGTATGCATGATATTCAGGCTTTATATTAGCGCATAGTCATTGATATTACTTTTGCTGGATGTATTGTTTAATAAAATTGTATATTTTACAGGTGTAATTTGCAAAAGGTGAAAAGCTCGGAGGTGAAAAGAGTGTGAAATTGCATTACCAAGTAGTAAGTATCACGGTAAATAGTGGAATTAGTGCATCTCCAGAAGACCTGGTCCAGTTTTGACTGGGAAACTGCTTGCGTCCCTCGAAGGGGGATGTGTGTTCACCACTTGCTTCACAATTGCTTGACTCGCTTTATGAAGCCGATAT